CTGTTTTTTTTTTTGGTTGCAGCCATCATTGTTTGGTGGGCCCAGGCTGGATTCGAACCCGCCAACTCAGGTGTATGGGGCTGGCGCCTTAGCCGCTTGAGCCACAGGTGCTGAGCCTTTAGTGCTTGTTCTAATTGTTATAAAATTCATATCTAACTTTTCAGAGTCTACATAGAGCTAATATTTTACCACTTTAAGAGAAAGGTAGAAACCATATAGGTCCTTTACAAGTTCCTTATGTTGTAATTGTTAGGTTTGTTAATCTACATACATTGAAAACCTCATCAGATGATGCTAAATTTTTTGCCTTCATTATCATTTCTATTATAAAGACTTTTTTTCTTTTTTTGAGACAGAGTGTCACTCTGTTGCCCACACTAGAATGTCGTGGCCTCAGCCTAGATCACAGCAACCTCAAACTTCTGGGCCTAAGCAATCCTCCTGCTCCCGCCTCCTCAATAGCTGAGATTGTAGAGATGTGCCTCCATGCCCAGCTAACTTTTCTGTTTTTCTTTTTTTTGAGACAGAGTCTTACTGTGTTGTCCTCCGTAGAGTACTGTGCTGTCATAGCTCACAGCAACCTTAAACTCTTTGGGCTCAAGTGATCTCTTGCCTCAGCCTCCCAAGTAGCTGGGACTACAGGGACTACAGGCACCCTCCACAACACCTGGCTATTTTTTTTTATTGCCATTGTCGTTTAGCAGGCTCAGGCTGGGCTTGAACCCACCAGCCCCAGTGTTTGTGGTTGGCGCCATAACCACTGAGCTATGAGCGCCGATACACTTTTCTGTTTTTAATAGAGACTGAACTCGAGTCTTCTTTTGCTTAGGTTGATCTCAAATTCCTGAGTTCAAGCTATCATCCCCCATGATCTTCCCTAGTGCTAGGATTATAGGGGTGGGACCACCACGCCTGGCCTATCTTAAAGACCTTAAGTGGAGAATCATTTATCTTTTGTCGTGATCGTTTTCTTTTGTCTAGGGTATTTCTAGATTACTCCTTAATTTTATAGATGTGATAGATGAAGCTTCTGAGATGTTTAGTGTTTTGCCCCAAGGTACAAATGCCTTGGCTATATCTAGATCTATGCCATGGCTATATCTAGAACCAAGATTCTCAGGCTTTCAAGCCAATGTTTGTACATGTTTTTTCTCTTTCTGTTGAGACCTTTTCCAGTTACTTTTGTAACACTTTGTGCAAAATTGTTATGGTTGCTTGTAGGAAAAGCATCCAGAGGATTCTTTGACAGCAGGCCTGGCAGGAAGTGTTAAATCCCAGTTTGTAGATTTCACCTATACAATGTTGATCATGCAGTGTACATTGTATTTTGTCTCTCCTTTATCTACTAGACTTTGGGATTAATTCAGTTCTGTTCATCTTGCCAGTGTTGGTGAAATTGAAAATATTTTAAATTTTTATTTATGTCTCTCCATTTTGTTGTTTGACTCTGAAGTTCTTTGTCCCTTTGGCTAGGAGTAGAGTGTTTGCCTTAATTTGTTGATGGATTGATTAATTCATTTAAGCAGTAATTTTTTTGTGTGTCTGCTATGTGTAGGGTACCATGCTAATTTAATAATAACTTTAGTTTTTTAGGCTTGTAAGAGTAAATATCTCCTTGGAGGAAATGTCACATAATTGATTTGTTAAACACACTAAAAATTATACTGGGTGGACATGAAGTTCATGTAAAATTGCATACAAACTTTATATCCACCATGTAGTTACAAGATAATGGTGAAAAGTTATTGCTTAATCAACTTAATCAAAAAATTAAGTATTTTTTGATACTTGTCCTTTTGAATTACCTTCACAAACAACTTCTGACACAGAGAATGGATGCATTCACTAAAATTTATATAATGGGTATGGTAATAAAAGGTATGGGGAAAAGAAACGCAATAGAACCTTTACAGTTGACCACACTCCCTACATTGACCACCTCCTTAAGTCGACCTAATTTTCACAGACTGGGCACATGCCACATGTATGTATCAGTACAGTAGGCCTAGTTCCTTATGTTGACCACCTCTGTAATGTTGACCAGTTTGTTACAGTCCCTTGGATAATCAGCTTACAGAGGTTCTGTGCATATAAATCCTTGCCTTCAGAGAGTTAAAATTTGTTTTTACTACTATTTGTTCATTTATGTTTTTGAGACACAGTCTCTCTATGTCACCCTCAATAGAGTGCTATGGTGTCACAGCTCACAGCAACCTCAAACTCTTGGGCTTAAGCGATTCTCTTGCCCCTCCCAGGTAGCTGGGTGCCTGTGGCTCAAGTGGCTAAGGCACCAGCCACATACACGTAGGGTGGTGGGTTCGAATCCAGCCCAGGTCTACCAAACAACAATGACGGTTGCAACCAAAAAATAGCCAGGCGTTGTGGCAGGCACCTGTGGTCCCAGCTACTTAGGAGGCAGAGGCAGGAGACTCGCTTGAGTCCAGGAGTTGGAGGTTGCTGTGAGCTGTGATGCCATGGCACTCTACCCAGGGGAACAGCTTGAGGCTCTGTCTCAAAAAAAAAAAAAGAGTTAATTTATTAATGTTATTTTCATATATATACATATATAGAGGATGCCAAAAAAAGTATACACATTTTAAGAGAAGAAAACCTATATTAAACTTGTAACACTCCATATATACCAGTAACGAAAGATGAATACAAGTCATGTTTGAGCCCCTCTTGTAATTGCAGAAGTCAAATGTGACTTGAGTATTACAATTTTAG